TACCAGTTGGATCATTTCATCACTTTGAAGAGTCACGCACGCGCAATCCACACCCGCCCACACCACCCACCCACCCACCTACCCGTGCACGCAAACATGCATGCTCGTGCACTGTTTTAAAAAACCTCCGCCTAGTCCGCTTAGGCGTTCGCCTAGGCCTAGGCGGTACCTAGTCCGTCTAACTAGCGACTAGGTACCAGTTGGATCATTTCATCACTTTGAAGAGTCACGCACGCGCAATCCACACCCGCCCACACCACCCACCCACCCACCTACCCGTGCACGCAAACATGCATGCTCGTGCACTGTTTTAAAAAACCTCCGCCTAGTCCGCTTAGGCGTTCGCCTAGGCCTAGGCGGTACCTAGTCCGTCTAACTAGCGACTAGGCGGTATTTACGTTGTCCACCTAGATTTTACGAGCGTTTAGGGGAGCATTGTCTGCTTATGTGGATTGCACCCTGTAGGTCTTGGTTGTGATTTTATGTGTTGTAGCTTACACGTCCTCCAAACTCCATTAACCTCCAAATATGAACACCTCCACTGCCTCCTCCGACCTTCAACAAAACCTCATCGATCACCACTTAAATGAAGAAAGAAATCCGCCTAGATACCAGTCCAACATCTAAGCTTTCTGTAACATTGACATTCACTATCAATTATTGTAATTAAAAATAAAAAAGAAAACATCTTAGGCTCTAGCATTGTTAATTATTATTTTGGCTATTTAGTATCTAAGTATGCATGATTTATTGTGGAACTAAAATTGCTATCTTTTTTTGAAAATTTATATGAATTTAATACATACTGTAATTTGAGTTGAGATGAACTTATAATTTGAGTTGAAAAATATAAACATATAAAGAGCTATTATAATTGGTAAACCAAGCAATTTAATTAATAGTGTTGGTATTTTAGTATTTATGCATCTTTGATTGAGTATATATATATTTATCTTCAAGTATCACAATTAAAAAAAAAAGAAAAAAAAAACGCCCAGAAACCGCTTAAGCGCCCGCCTAGACGGCTAAGCGCTGGGTGCCAAGTCCGACGCCTAGAAGCGCCCAGCGTTTAATGTAACATTGTGCCTGTGCAACGCACGTTCAAACTGATGCCAATATGTAGTTTGCTGCCAGCTCCTCACTCGTGCGTGCACACATCTTCAAGCTGATGAAATGATCCAATAGGTTGCCAGCTCCTCACACACGCGCACGCGCACACGCACATCTTCAAACTGATGAAATGATCCATGTGTAGTTTGCTGCCAGCTCCTCAGTTTTTGTTGCAACGAAAGAACACTTCCGAGATGAAGATAAAGGAAGAACATTGCCAAGACCTTCATTTGCGTGAGCTCCTCAGAAGAAAATGAAGGGGGACTGGAACGGAAAAGAACAGCTGCTAGGTTACCCATTTAACACATAAAATGGAAATTAAATGTGTTAGGCTTGTCATTTCGGGTCGACCTGTTTTAATCCGATTAGTAAATGGGTAATTTGGGTCGAACCAAATATTACCTGTACTGATATAACTTCACCCACACCCATGCACACACAAGCAAATTATGTGTATTGCGTCATTAACCTTCAGGACAGTTGTTTTCTTATCTCTGATAATTGACGTTAATCGTTCTAACATTTAAATCAATTACTGATAAATTTGAAGGTGTTTCGGTTTATTGCTAGAATTTTCCTTGCATGGCTTATCTACGCATGCTGAATTGCTAAATCCCCTTCTTCTCTTTTCAGTTATTTCTCATCAAATATTATTTTAGTATTGAGTTTTTTTCTTTCATCCGGGCCAACTTCAAATACTTGGAAATGAGGTTCTAATTGATTTTCCAATGGAACCTAAGGTCCTATCGATGTTTGGACCTATATTCTTTGACTCCTTCGCTCAAGTCATTAAGCCAGAATCTAGACCCTCCTGTACATAAGCCAGAACCTAGACCCTCCTGTACATTCATTTTTCTGAGCTCTTAAGGTAGCTCATGCCTAGATGTCATCTCATGTTGGATCTATCCAGATTACTATGGAGAAGCGTGTTTTGCAAAAGAATCAAATTATTAAGCTCCCCCATTTACAATATAGCTTGAATTCTTCGCTTCAAGTGATTACGCCAGGGAGTAGCCTCTCATGGATGCTTCATTTTTCTGAGCCCTTATGTTGCGCACAACTTCAAAATAATCTCATGTTGGATCTTTCCAGATTATTGTGCGGAAGTATTTTTTTCGCAAAATTATCAATAAAAGGCCTCAGAGCAATTTAAACATATTCACTATCCACTACTTAAAATCTGGGGTACACTTTAATCAAACTGCATGCTCAGCATAATCAAAATTTGTAAATCTTAGTCCAACACTCACATTTATTCACATTGCTAAGCCTGAGCAGTTGAACCAAACCTTGCAGCCATCCTTGGATCAAGTAGAGCAAGATTCTTCAAGATGTTATTTCATAGTTGTCTCCAGTTATAAAATATAGGATGTGGATAGATGTGTTTTTTCAAACAAATGGGTGCCCTTTATTGTTCAAAACAGATTAATTGCCATTAAAGGGACATGCTTGATACTAGTTGACATTTCTTCTCATTTTTTTTCCTTTCCCTTTCTGTATTGTTCTATACGTTCCAAACAGAAGATGTTAGAGTGAGTTCTTGCGTGAACAACATCTTGCACGTGTTCGATGTGTGTTCAATCCAGTTATTACAATAGTATGTACTTGAGATAGTTAGATATGGCTGAGCTGGTTTAGTGCTAACTTAAATAAATTCTTTTAGGGAAATCCCGCCTGAAGTTTGATACGAGATCATATCAGGAAATGGTTGTCCGCCCAATGCGGGAAATGAGTGAGGACAAACAGAAACTGAACTGCTACAAGATTAAGGCTCTTAAGCAAGAGCAACAGACAAAGGCTTATGAAGAAAGTCTTGCAGTGGTTAGCCGGAAACTGAGAGAGACTCTAGAAGAGAACAGGATTGTGAGGCAAAGAACAAAGATGCATTATGAAGAAAACAAAGAAGAGGTATTCTTCTACGTCTCAATGAAGTTTCTGCTGAATTTTTATTTCGGGAAATTGACTGGTTACTCTTTCCTTGAGGAATGAGCTTTGTAACATCCCAAGTAACTAGAACAAGTAAGGAGGACCATTAATTAATATGCAGCATGTACCATCTGGATGCATTCAGTTAAGAGATTGAAACAGCTGGAATATCAAATTCAAAACATAGGAATTTGAATTAGAAGTTACATCTGTAAGAAGGGATAATCATTTTAGAAAATGCCTCTTAGGTTCTCAATTTTAATTTGGGAGTAATTGCGGACTGACACTCTATAGTTCTATTGTGTGGGTAGACCCGCTGTACTATCGCTCAATTGCAGATAGACCCCCTGAGTGAAATTTTTTGACTCTTTCACCTGTAGGAGGTTTATTAGTCAAACAACAATTGTCTCTTTCTTTGTGGGTAAGAGTCAAAATTTTCATTGGGTTTTATCTGCAACAAGAGAACTACAGGTGGTCTATGCGCAATTAAGCAATTATACAGGGGGGCTATCAGCATTCATTTTAATTTTTAATCAGGAGTGTACTATCGATGATGTTAGATGTGTTGGAGATTAGAAAATGAAATTTGCGGATATGATGGATGCCCAATTTACAAGTTAAATTAACTCGATGAATACTCGATCCTGCTGCTGCGTATTTCATGAAAACTGGTTTACATTAAGAAGTGTGAAAATAGACTATACTGGTAAATAGCAATAGGGCAGCAATCTCTTCATGTCCTACTAGATAGTGAGATGATGTTGTGAACTGGTATGATAGTAACTTGGTATCCATTAATCTGTGAGATCATTGTGAAGCTGATAGTTCTTTTTAATTCTAAAACTAATAGCGCTAATTAACTTCACACTTTGTTAGATGGATTACCAAGAGCGTTTCTTTAAGGAGCAAATTGAAAAGATTCAAAAGGCCACTGAAGATAAAGAAAAAAAGTATGAGGAGTTGCTGCAAAAGGAGTGCGCCAAGGCGAGACAGTCTGACATGGTCTCTGGAAGCAATGAAAGACGGGAGCAGAGGTAATCCCAAAAAATATTCAGTTATGTGCAGCTTTAAGCGACACCAAAACATTGATTCCCCCCCTCCCACCCCCACCCCCCCCCCCACTTAATGTGTGCAGTATTAAAATATATCAATATACATGATGATATTCAACCTAAGTCGAATGATAAGCAATTTCCATCTTTCTGTCATGGCTGGCTTGACTAGCACAATGTTCATAGATATTAATCAACATACCCAGCTGTTATCAAAGGCATACGCCTCATGCGCTTTGCGATGTAGGGCGGTGGTGAAGGATCCCACATATGATGCAGCAGCGCCTCTTTGTGCCTCGCAAGTGCCCTGCGCGAGGGCACTTTGCATAGGGTGCATGTATTTCTTTTTTGTTCTTTAACATTTCAATTGCGCCTTGGTACCCGATAATCCATATAGCAAAAAGAAAAATCAACCTGTTAGGCCATTTTACTAGCCCATTTGAGGATTCTAACATGTTCTCATTTACTTATTGATTTTGCTTTGATATTAGTCTTTATTTAACTTTTGATTTGGAAGATTATGAACTTTAATAATATGTTGGATGTGTTAGCATTATCAATTATACCCTTATTTTGTTGCTTGGCAATAGATATTGTTTATCTTGACAAAATTTTTATGTGAAAATTCATAAACATGTCCTTTCATGCTTGATTATCTATCTTGAAAAATTACATGTGTTGTACATCTCACTTCACTCAAGCGTGTGCATCACATTGCTCCTTGCACATGTGCGCGTGAAGGAACTTTACGCCGCGCATTGTGCAGCGTGCATTGATAACACTGAACATACCTTATGACATTCTACTTACAAAAAGCTGTACTTGGTCATATATCTTGGCTGTATTGATATAATGGTTGCATTTGTTTGTAAGAAGTATGCTTTACGGCTTGCTACAATTTCAATATACTGTAGGCTCTAATTGGCTGATAAAATTATCTTGTGTATGGATTTTCTTGCTGTGCCCTTCATTCCCATGATATTTTTCTCCCATTTAATGTGCATGTCCGTTACTAATACTAGCATACCACCACTTCTCCCACTACATGGAGCAATTACAGAACTTACATTGTAGGATTTAGGTAATTGAGGAAGCTAAGTGCATGCCCATCGGGGTCTTGATCGCTAAATTTCAATAAACAGGTGTAGTTCAGGAAGTTCCCTTGCGTAAAGAATACTCCCTAATGCCTATATGATCGCTCTAATTGGCTGATATGAGATGATTGCGTTTCGAATAAAAAACAGAGATAATAGTAGCTCTCTAGCAAATATCTTTTTCTTTTTAAAGACTAGCGGTCAAGTTTATCTATGTTTTAACAAATTTTGGGGTTTTTGTCGTATTAAACCCCTAAATCTTTGTTAATTCTATATTAGATCCTCAAATCTTCATATTTCTAAATTAGAACCCCAAATCTTCATATTGATTTGGGATGGTGGTCTTATATATAAAACAACTTAACATACCTGGGCGTCTCATTTTAAACAACTTAGCAGATTTGGGGCTCTTATTTATATCAATTTAATGGCTTTGTGGGTCTAATTTAGAATTATGAAGATTAGGGAGTCTAATTTACTGTTTTTCCATTGAAGATCTAGGGAGTCTAATTTACTGTAGCATTATGATTGTAGCATTTTTTTCAAAAAATATTATTGTAGCATAAGCGGGCTGTTGTAACATTATTAAAACATTGTAGTATTTTAAAATATATTGATGTAGCAGAGGTGGGAAACTGTAGTATTTTAAAAAAATATTGCTAATATTACCGTGGCATTTAAAAAATACTGTAGCAATCTAAAAAGGATTACTGTAGCAATAAAAAAAAGGAAGGCCATGCTTGGCACGGGCTGCACACTAGTATAAGTATATAACAAAATCCTAAACTTTTCCATCTCCAGTTATACTTTTTCATCTCGCTCATTATTATTTGAACCTTCCTGCAGAAGGGAGAGAGAGAGCTTCATTTCTAGCCAGATAAAGGGAGTTGAGGAGTTTGGGGCCAGGAGAGAGAAGCTGATACAGACTTATGAACGGAAGAAGCTTGACCTGAAGCGTAAGCAACTCAAGGAGGACGTGAAACTGGAGGAGGAGTTCCATACTGCTCTTAACCAGCTGATGGAGGAGTTTACTCCTGGTACCTTCAATGCTCATTAGTGGCGCATATGAGAGCTACTGCCTCTCTCTATGTGGGTTTTGGTTTAGTTAGCATCTGTCAAAAAATAAGTATATAGACTCATTGCAGGCTTGATTAAAATAAGACCCTTTTCACAAAAAAACCATGCCAAATATCCCAGGGTGGTAGTGCCTGGAAAATTTTGGGCTGGCTACTAATTGACTGGTTTTTCTCAGTTTCTAATATGGATGGTTGTCCTGGGGAGTTCTAGTAGTAATTGGAAATCATGTCCGGTTACTCAGTCTGGAATATGAAAATTGAAGTGAATTGCAAATGGATGGTAGTGAACTTATTATGCAAGTTCTCTTGCAACTTTTGCTGCAGTTTGAACGAGTTTTGCTAATATGTCATGGTATTGCAACTATGATGCAACTGTTCATTAATCGAAACTTTGTTCCTAGCTAGAATTTATAGGTTTATATTGGGTATTTGTCCTTAACATAGAACTTATTATGGGATCTCAGCATTTTTGTTCCCTTTCTGCACGGCTTGATTATTGGTTTCTTGGGCTTTTTTAGTTAGAATGAGGGCTTAACAACTTCAGTTACAAATTATATTTTGCTTCTAGATTAGAGTTACTGATTTTCTTCCTGTGATTTTGTTCCCTTCCTGATGCGAAACGGAACAGGGGTTCCATCGGAATCAGCGATCTAATTTAAACAACGCCAAATATCCCAATCTAAAACAGTTAATGTGACAGATGGATTTTTAATAAGATTTGCATCGACAATTATGAACAATTCCAATCTCGATCAATTTAATTACAATATTCATTATCATTGCACAAGTTTTACAATCAATATCAAGTTTTAACAATCACATGTTCAGTTACTCTCAACTCACATTTATACTTTAAGCAGTGAATATATGATAAGAGTTTAGAGGTAATATACTCATGCAATTAACAAACAAAATGAGATTGATAGAAAAATAAAGAGGAACGAAAGAAAACGAAACATTCGTCGGTCTGAACAAACTCGACGTGAGAGACCTTTGGAGGTGGTGCGACGACGGTGCACTGAACGACGATGATGAGGCGAAAATCCGATGATGACGAGTGCGACGGTGTTGAACTGATGACGACGCGGCGACTGAATGAGGGCGGTGTGATGTCCCACGGGTAGTCGTCGGGTCGATGCAGGTGGCGGGCGTCGGGACGAGGCTGGCAGCAGCGTCAAGACGAAATAAACGGCGGTTCGAAGAGTGGAGGAGGACGGAGGGAAATCAACGACTGTTGAGGTAGTTCTGACGGCTTACGGAGGCGGGAACGACGACTGGTCGAAGGTAAGGAGAGCAGAGAGAGATTGGTAGCTTGTAGAAGAGAAGGGGTGGGGGGCAGCGAGGCTGTGAGATGAACAGATGAACGAGAGAAGATAAATGTTTGACAGCTAGAAGAAGACAGCAGCGTCAAGACGAAATAAACGGCGGTTCGAAGAGTGGAGGAGGACGGAGGGAAATCAACGACTGTTGAGGTAGTTCTGACGGCTTACGGAGGCGGGAACGACGACTGGTCGAAGGTAAGGAGAGCAGAGAGAGATTGGTAGCTTGTAGAAGAGAAGGGGTGGGGGGCAGCGAGGCTGTGAGATGAACAGATGAACGAGAGAAGATAAATGTTTGACAGCTAGAAGAAGAGGAACATGTAATGGCATAGGGTTTCACACCCGAGGCCTAGGTTTCACATCCAAATTAAGCCAACTCAAATTTCATTTTAATTTTTAATAATTCATTGCTTTTCAATAGTCTCATACAACTTTATTTATAAAAAAAACTACGTGCACACAACGTGCAATGAAAATAGAAACAAACAATAATTTCTCAAATCACTCAACTAAAATTAAACTAAATTTTAAATTTCAAAATTCAAAATTCAAAAAATATATCAACTAATCAAATATTACCATTTCTTGTCCTCATTATTCTCCCCGGGTGGGAGAAAACTCGACTCTGTCGAGTTAGCTGCAGAAACTTGTCATCTTCAATATACTCTGTCTGCATCTTAATCTACTGTCAGTTATTTTTTTGCATCTCAAATCATTAGCTAGATTGCATTGTAAATTCATCATCTAAAATATTATCAAAATTCATTGATGTATGGATGAATATATAGAAATGGAGTAAAGTGAAAGAACTCTCATAAATAATAGGTTAGAATCATGCATATATCAGTGGACTGCCAATAACATTGTGAACTGTTTAATCACTCAATATTAAAAATAGAACTATGACCAAATCAATAAATGTTGCCATTAATTAATTCAAGAGTTGAAAAAGCTCATAAATATCATGTCAAATCTTAAACAGTTATAAAGAAACCTAAAATATCAGCATTAATAGTTTTAAATTATGTCCTAACTCCATATCATTCATTTCAATTAACAAACTTCCCCTTCTTCAACTACAGTAACACACATCCATAGATTTAGAAAGGTTTTTTTTTCCTAGATACCATCTTAAAATGGGATTATTATGCAGAAATCACTCTTCATTTTTAATTTAGATGAAACCACGGCATCAAGGATGTACTTGATAAAAACGGGATACTGTTAACTACATCAACATCGAGCTCATTAATCCTAGTTTTTAATTTTACACTTTGGTCGCATTATTTTGTGATAAATGTTTTGACAACAGTTGCTTGCTTTTTACTGTGACAGGGAACGTACTTGTGTAGTACCCCATAGTGGTTGCTAAAGTAATAAAATTCTTATGTCCCCCTGTTAATGAGTTTTGACGGTCACGATTCTCTAATTAGTAGCTGCCTTTGGAAAATGGTAATTAAGGAGAAATAGAAGTAGAAGACGTTGGTGTATAGTAATTATGCTACATATTTCTTTCTAGTTTTATTACTTGGGACCTTTTCATTATGAGAAACGGTTGAACGATTCTGATCGTAGAAATAATCTGTGGAGTATGAACATTTGAATGTTTAAGACAAGAAATATCACCTTTGAGGAACTGGTTCATCTAATAAAAAAGGTGAGAGAAATATAAATATGTAAAGAGATTTAATATTGTTATGTGAAATGATGCAGATTTTGACAAGCTGCATAGCTAAGTGTTCCTTTTTCTCCTTCTTTGTACATAGTTCGGTATTGCTTTTTTTTTTAAGATGCTTCTACTTATTTTTTCAAGAAGCATCCGGCAATGATGTTTGGTGAAAACATTTTAGCATGCTTATTGAAGCTACTTCTGCTTTTAAGAGTGTTTTTAGAGGCAACTTGAATATGCTTTGAAAAACAGCTTCAACTTTTTTTTTCATTTGTATACCATATATACATTTATTATTTAATAATAATCATTAAACACAATTTCACCAAATATATTAGTTATTTTTTATGCAGTTTTTGATATTTAATTATCAAAATGTTATTTTCAGCCGTTGCTTTCATAATTTGCTTTTATAAGCAACTTATTATAATCTCCAGCACACCAGATTGGCCCTTATTATACTGTTGATGTTCTATTTTTCAACATATTGCTAAATGACCCTAACAAAGTAAGATTTTAAATTTGGGATAAAATTGGAAATATTGGAGAGAAGAATACTATAAAGGACTTCCACAAAATATCTTATAAGGGCAAAGGAGATCATGACATGTTCCCAATGTCAAAATTTGAATTAGTGCAATCAGTATTTTTTAGTTCTGCATTTAAAAACTAATACCATCAAACTAGGTCTCAAGGAATATCACCTGCTAAAAAGATGTAGGGCCACAAATCACGTTCTCCGCCCTCTCTATGC